ATTTGGATTTATTGTGGTGGTAATAACTAACTGTACCGACGAACTGTGAGTTGTATCATCTCGTCTAATTTTACTCACTTGATTTAACTACTTTGAACTGGTATTTGCTAGCGTTATCCACTACATAATTGGTGAGCCCGAATTTTATTTCTCTTCCTTAGATCACCTGGAAATCCCGTATTCATTTTTTTCTCATTACTATCATGACTGATTCAAACGATTCACCTATGGACTCGCAAGATATTTTGCGTTTAAGACTACCAGCCTACGGTATTCATCATCCAAGACTGTGATTTGCTCAGGCAATTTTTGAGTGCCGTCGCGTTAGATCACAACAAACCAAGTTTAGTTGCGTTGTTGCACATTTTTCACCTGAAGTTCCCGTCGAAGTTGCTGAAATCATCTACGAGAAACCCGATGTAAAGCCATACGATGTACTAAAAGATGCTTTAAAAGATGCTTTGAGAACAACATCAACCGATGAACACAACCTCCGTGTTTTACTTGCCGGCGTGGAACTAGGTTATCGTACCCCTGCTCAAATACTCCGACATATGACACAGCTACAAGGAAAGCAGGCGGTAAATGAGAACATCCTCAAGGAGTTGTGGTTGCAAAACCTCCCTGGAGACATAAGGAAGGTCTTGTCGGTTGTTGACAAAGACACAACGCTGCCAAAATTGGCCGAATTGGCTGACTAAGTGTTTTCATGCTACGGTACTAAGCCCCTCCTTTAGTGCAATCAGTAACCATGATTTTAAGCACACAGACCGACATTGAAGCCCTGAAGCAACAAGTTTCAGAACTTTCTCTACAGATCTCCCAAATTTCCGCCAAACTAACTCACCGCTCTCCCTTCGCGCTCTCATCCTACACGTTTACGTTCATTCTACAACCGTGACGAGTCTACATCGAAAATTTGGCTCAAAGGCACGTAATCGTGTCAAAACCTCTAACTTCCATCGTCAACAGGGAAACGACAAGGCCAGACAGTAACGGCGACAGCTGTTCTTGGCCCCAACGTAAGTCACCTTTTTCACGTTATAGATAACCTGACCCATAAGCGCTTCTTATTCGATACTGGTGCTGAAGTCAGCGTCTTACCGTCTTCATCTAAGAAACGTCACTCAACTACGGCTTCGTGCGGCAAACGGGTCTCGAATCCTCACTTATGGCCATCGTTCCATGAGGCTTAACCTAGGTCTTAGGCGCACGCCTCTTTGTGTATTTTTAATAGCCGATGTACAAACTGCTATCTTAGGGGCTGATTTTCTCACACACATGGGTCTTCTAGTGGACGTGAAAGGTCGCAGACTGGCGGAT